AAAGCCAGACAATCAGAGATATGTGGAGAGTTAGTCAGTCAGAGATATGCGCAAAGCCAGACAATCAGAGATATGTGGAGAGTTAGTCAGTCAGAGATATGCGCAAAGCCAGACAATCAGAGATATGTGGAGAGTTAGTCAGCCAGAGATATGCGGAGATTCACTCAGGCTGAGATGAGTGGAGAGACAGTTATAAGCAAAGATACATCGCTAAGCTATCGTACGCGGTAGCGATATATTCTTGTTCCGACGCGTCATACCGTACGTAATATTCATGTGCAGACTTGCGTAATAAAAGTAACTAGCAGGAACGCGAAGGGCACTAAAAGGGTCCATCCTGCCAGAGGTCAGTGTCTCACACGACTATATTTTGCCTAGCGGCGAATATATAGTCGTATATGAATACCCGTTGTCGCATCCCATTAAACTTGCTCATCTCCCATGGCAACGCGTCGGATCATGTTATCGTCTGACTGAAGATTTGAGCGGGGCGTGAACACGTGCTCGGCTCCGATTGCCATGCTCTCGCGAAAATAACCTTCGAGGATTCTTTACCACCTAGGACTTTCTGCCGTAAAGGTAGTGATTAATCTGGAAACAGTCGAGTGCTTTAGGCGCGCTACGGCCGGTTAGAACCAGTTCGCCTGTGAGACAACAGTGACAACCGTTTACACTATATAGCATAGTATAGCATGGGTTTACTCTTCTCCGCGTTAGAACAACGGAAACTCGACGTCATCACTCTGTAGGTTGATTGCCAAACACGGTATTCAAGCACATTTAATCTTGTTTCACCAATCTGTGTTGAATAGGTGAGTATATTCAGAGAAGAACTCGCGTGCATACAAGTTTTTACCTCACCAATATCGTTATGATAATAGGGCACAATGCCATATAATACCAACGTGAGTCGTCCATGCTCATACTCAGACATGTAGTGTATGTTCAATTCCAGACAGCTATGCATGTCAGGAAATTGAACTGTCTCTGGTTATACAGCTCGATGTCTAGCAAAGTGGCGCCATCTCCGATAGTTACGTTATGACTATACTGGTTATACACTGTCCCGGGGTTATTATATGGTATAGCAGGTTATGGTATAGTGTTAGGATGGCTCTGATGATTTACATCCAACAATTTAGGCTTCAATACGCGCCATCTTACATCTTTAATAATATTTCTAAGTTATTATTACGATCAATACTTTCAGTAGTTGTACAAGGAATCGCATCGTGGCATCGCACAGTTCCACTTCCCAGATCAAAATTAAACCTTGCCGCGGCAGTGGGGTGTTTGTTAGCGGCGTTAATGACCCGTATGTGCGGCGGACTAAGCTGTACGTGTGCATGCGTCTCTACGCTATAAAATATAGCAGGAACGCTGTATTGTAGAATAAACCCCTCTTTGTGACATCGCGTCGCTACACGTTGAGCAAAATATACACATACGAAATGGCACGAATAAATTTTACGCTAATTATTCCCGCTAACCTGAATAATCATAGGTAAATAGACAAATAAATGTTGTTCTATTATTTATTTATTTATTAAGTAGTTGTTTTTCGGCAGCCCACCGGCGAAAGCATGCGCTGTGTAAGTTTTCAGACATGCATTGAGTTATCATTAGACGAAAGTAGTTAGCACAAATTTATTTGAAGGGGTTATATGACTCATGACTTTTTAATTATCCTATATTTTAACAAAGAAATTTTTATTAAGCCTATACGCTGGCCTTTAAATTATTACATTATTTTACATATAGCGGAGATTACGTACGTTTTTGTTATATAATTAAAAAATCTTTATTCAAAATAAATGTGTAATTTCCAGAAGGTTTGTAAAGTACATCAAAGCATTGATATTTTCACGCCAGACTATAGCACAGCCTCCTGGGTTCCAGTGAAGAAGATTGCGTCAATTTACTTAAACTCATCGGTGTGATCATCTCGGCTAGCTGGCTGGCATTGAGTCATAATCGTTTGTGTACATAAAAATCCAATGACGCTCGCTTCAGAACGGCTTCACTGAAACACTCATTTCCCTTGCAGTTCCCGTGCATTTCGTGCTAACTGATTAATGCACGCCAGTAACCGCACTATACACACTACACGTCATGCCTATTATCTATATTTCTATTGCCTATATATGCCTATGTATCTATATTGCCTATTATCTATATATCTATAGTTTCAAGAGCGTATAAAGAAGGAGAGCGTACAACGGTGAAATGCTGAAACCATGTTGCAGTATTAGTCGAATTAATAAACTTTCCCCGTTTTATTTTGATGATTCTTTGCAGTATTATTGATCAGCTGTCCT